TCATTAAATTCTGTGCCCCTTCTTCTCCAAACGTACCTTTGCTCATTCCGGCCAAAAAGTTCAATTTTATCCTCATCGGTCCACAGAACTTGTTTCCAAAATGCATCAGGCTTGTCTATATGTTCATTTGCAAAGTTCAAACAATGATTTTTGTGGTGAGGACGTAGAAGAGGTTTTCTTCTGATGACTCTTCCATGAAGACCATATTTGTACAAGTATCTCTTTATAGTGGAATAGTGTACCACAACTCCAGTGTCTGCCAGATCTTTCTGGAGGGATCGTGCAGTCAAACTTGGGTTTTGAATTGTTTTTCTCACACAATCCTGCGAGCTGTTCTGTCTGATATTTTTCTTGGTCTTCCAGATCTTGCTTTAACTTCCACTGTTCCTGATGACTGCCATTTCTTAATTACATTCCAAACAGAGGATATTGACATCTGAAAACGCTTTGCTATCTTCTTATAGCCTTCTCCAGCTTTGTGAGCGTCAACTATTTTCAGTTTCAGCTTTCTAGACAACTGCTTAGAAGAACCCATGGTGCTGATTGTTGGGGCAAGGTCAGATGAGTCTGGGCATTTAAAACCTTTGAGATTGACATCAACCTGGTCTTCCCAGACGATGACTGAGAACAATCCATGACACTGGCATTTCTCAGCTTTGCAAAGGGGGCAGTGCATGCTATAAATTCTGCAGGGTGCCCAAACTTTTGCAGACGCCATTTTTTTGTTTTCTGTTATTTTGAAAGTGTAAATGATGGAAATAAAATCTAACTTTTGTTGACATATTATAAGAATGTCTAATCTGTAATTTGATGCCTTTTGGAGATTTTTCCATCTTTCCTTGGCTTCTTTATGCACATTAATACAAATTTTTAGCTGGGGTGCCCAAACTTTCGATCCCCACTGTATATATATATATATATATATATATATATATATATATATATATATATATATAGTTATCCTTAGCTACCATTTCTTGCCACAAAACTGGAAAAATCATAAAAATCGTATCATCAGGAAATTCGTATGATAGCTGAAGTTCCATGCAAATCCTGACAGTTGATGTTTGGCTCCACCCTTGCATGCCTTTAGGTAGGTTTCATGTAGAAATCTAATTTGGTTTTATATGAATAATTCAAACCTACTGTATGTGCTACAGCTCATATTATTTTTTTTATTAAGTCAGGTAGATGTTTTGTGTATTGGTACACTATATAGCTAAACATTTCTGGTTCGCCTGACCATCAAACCTCGCTATATAGGCAATTCTATGTTGGCCCCTCAAAATATTGGAGCTCAGGTGCGTCCAGTGAGGTGTACTGTGTCAAGTGCACTCTCAGATCCCACTGCTGCCACCAGAATGTGAAAATTACACACTTGCTACTTTCACACTGATCCACGGCAAAAATGCATGAGCGGTTTTGCCATGTTTTTACCGCGCTTTCTGACCTTTTTTTTTTAAAGGACACATGGCTTAACTCCTTCATGCCTAAGGGTAAAACAAATCTTAAAGCCCAAGTAAAATTTTACAACTTTGACATGTGTTAGTAAAACCGTACATATCCTCACAACTACTTTGTACATCCAGGTGGATTGTACTGCATTTTTTTCAGGACAAATTGGGCTTTCATTCTGTGGTAAATGGTAATGGATATCTCCTGATTTTTTTTTTTATTATCAAAGGCAAACTGGCCCAAAATAGTAAAAAAAAAAATATATATATTTTTTTTTATTTAGCTGTTTCTTGTTACTACCACAACCTACCACCAAAGAACAACCCAAAATAAATTTTCCAGCTCTTGACAATCGCAGCGATACCATATAAAGTTGTACTCAAAAGTTTGCATACCCTGGCAGAAATTGTGAAATTTTGGCATTGATATTGAAAATATGACTGATCATGCCAAAAAATGCTCTTTTATTGAAGGATGATGATCCTATGAAGCCATTTATTATCAAATAGTTGTTTGGCTCCTTTTTCAATCATAATGATAACAGAAATCACCCAAATGGCCCAGATCAGTCTCCGCCCCCGAAGTCTCCGCCCCCTGGAATGTTTGGCCTTGGTACAGACACACAAGGTGACACACACAGGTTACAATGCCAATTAGAGGTTAATGTTCCACATCTGTGGCTTTTTAAATTGCAATTAGTGTCAGTGTATAAATAGTCAGTGAGTTTGTTAGCTCTTACGTGGAAGCACTGACTAGGCTAGATACTGAACCTTGGGGATCAGAAAAAGAACTGCCAAACGTCCTGCATAACAAGGTAATGGAACTTTATAAAGATGGAAAAGGACATATAAAGATGTCCAAAGCCTTGAATATGCCAGTCAGTACTGTGAATTCACCTATTAAAAGTGAAAAGTTCAGGGATCTCTTGATACCAAGCCAAGGTCAGGTAGACCAAGAAAGACTGCAGCTACAACTGCCAGAAGAATTGTTCAGGATTCAAAGGGAAATCTGTAGATAACCGCAAAAAAAATACAGGCTGCTCTGGAAAAAGACAGTGTGGTTGTTTTGAAGGAGCACAATATGATGACACTTGAACAAAAATGAGCTGCATGGTGGAGGTACCAGAAAGAAGCCTTTACTTTTTTTTCGGACAAAAGCTGTGTAATAACAATCAGATTATCATACGATCGCTTCAAAAGCTGGATTTTTTGTCTGATTTTCTGATCGTGTGTACTAGGCTATAGGAGGTTGATTGTGTCCCACTGGTCTTCTGCTGTGTTTGGTGTCTACTCGGTTGGTATCTTCCTAGTTATTAAGGTAACTCTATTACTGCAGGAGTTATGGAATATGAAGTAGGTTTGAGGACTTGAGATGAATATCACTCATCAGCAGAGGCGGACTGACAACTCATGGGGCCCCCCGGCAATAGGGGATCATGGGGCCCCTGTGTCTTTGCCCACACTTCAAAGCACACCCAAAAAAGCCTTTAAAAAGTACTGGCTCTGGGACAACCCTCCTTATCCCCACCGCAACCCACCAGCTCGGGGACAATAATACTTATCCCCATCTGCAACACACCAGCTCAGGGACAATAATACTTATCCCCATCTGCAACACACCACCTCAGGGACAACTCTACTTATCCCCTGCCGCAACCCACTGGCTCGGGGACAACCCTACTTATCCCCAGTCACAACCCACCAACTCGGGGACAATCCTACTTATCTCCAGCCACAACCCACCGGCTCAGAGATAACCCTACTTATCCCCAGCCGCATCCCACCAGCTCAGGGACAATCCTACTTATCCCCTGCCACAACCCACCAGCTCGGGGACAATCCTACTTATCCCATCCACAACCCACAGGGACAATCCTACTTATCCCCAGCTTATCCCCAGCCACAACCCATCGGATCAGGGACAATTCTATTTATCTCCAGCCGCAACACACCAGTTCGGGGACAATCCTACTTATCCCCATCCACAACCCACCGGATAAGGGACAATCCTACTTATCCCCAGCCGCAACACACCAGCTCGGGGGCAATCCTCTTTATCCCCAGCTGCAACCCACCAGTTCGGGGACAATCCTACTTATCCCCAGCCACAACCGACCGGATAAGGGACAATCCTACTTATCCCCAGCCACAACACACCGGCTCGGAGATAACCCTACTTATCCGCAGTGACCACCATTTTTACCTATTCCGAGTTAACCCCTTATTAACCGTAATGTACCGAGGTCCCCATACCACTGATGGGTCCCGAATCTTTCTCCATACAGAATTCTTTCCTCCTCCAAAGACCAACCACTGCCAAGGCTACCGTGACAATTCAAACCAAAGCACGAAGGGGAGGAAGGGTGGGAAGCTTCTTCTTCTTCCAACTTCCCACTAGACTTACCAAGATCTGACACTCCTTTTCCTCCCTGTGAACCCTCACCAACATCCCCATCCAATCAGGTAAACCATAGTTCCAAAACTTCCTACCCTTCTTTTAACCCTATATGTTGTCCATCTATTTCCCCCAGTCATGTATTCCCTGCGCTTAATTTTTTTTTTTCTCCGGACCTACCTCTACTGCTTATGTACTATTTCAAAGTGAGGATAAAATGTACTATAAAATACAATAGAAAAGAAAGGGGAGGAGGGGGTATTCTATGTCAGAAGCTGTCATCCACTAAAAAAAAAAGATAACAAATGTCAATAATCTTTAAATATAAAAAATAAAAAATCAATAGTAGCCAGTTGACAAGTTGCACATCATGATTCTGTTGTTGCTGTTATTAGCATTATCTTCATCAATAATTGCACTCAGACTAGAATCGTTCTCTTTGTGTTTTTATGGACGAAGAGACCTTGCTCGGGTTTCTAATGATGATTTTGTTTTGGTCCACGCTTAGAAAAGATCAAATGGCACAAAACCATTTTCAAAAGGCAATACAAAAGCATTCCTGGAGGTAAATGTCGGCTTGTAACATTTATATGCATAATTCCTGAAATTGAATTGATGAAAGCTTGCCATACATTCAGGGCTGGGACAAGGGGTGGGCAGAGGGGCGGCTGCCCTGGGCACAATAATTTATTGCAGGGATGGGATATTTCTTTTAATTTTTTTTTTTACATAATTTTTCTTTACATTTTTTTACATTTTGTTTGCTACTTTATTGTTATCACAAGGGCGCTAACAAGCCTTCATTGTCTACCCTGCCTTCCATTGCAGCTATACAAGCACAGATCATGCTTGAATAGCTGCATCCTCAGTTACACTAGCCAAGGAATGACAGCTGTGACCCCAGGAGTGGCAAAACCCACATAGAAGAAAAATATATTTGAAATATATTTTAAAAATATTCTTCCCAAATATACTGACATATATTTGAAAATGCTACAATTTTGGCCATATTCAATGTATTTCAATAAATATAAACTGTGTACTGACTGTGATTGACAGTAGCAGGAGCCAATCGCTTCTGCTGCTGTCTCTGAGCCTCTGACTGCTCGTGAGGAGAGGAGAGCCGGTAATCGGCATTCCTCAGAGGGGACATCTACACTGATCATCAGGGCACTGATGATCTGTGTAGTCCCAGCAGTGCCACCTGTCAGTGCCCATCAATGTCAGCTGTCAGTGCCCCAGTGCCACCTGCAGTGCCCATCAGTGCCACATCAATGCCACATATCAGTGCCCATCTGAGCTGCCTTTCAGTGCCACGTATCAGTGCCACGTATCAGTGCCGCCGTATCGATGCCAGTCAGTGCCACCTATCAGTGCACATCAGTGTCAGCTGTCAGTGTCTGTCAGTGCCGCCTATCAGTGCCATATATGAGTGCTGCCTTTCAGCGCCCACCAGTGATGCCTGTCAATGCCCATCAGTATCACCTACCAGTGCCTCCTCATCAGTGCCCATCAGTACCGCCTATCAGTGCAGCCTATCAGTGCCCATCACTGCAGCCTCATTAGCGCACATCAGTGAAGGAGAAAAATCACTTATTTACAAAATTTTGTAACAGAAACTAAGAAAAAACATTTTTCTTTAATTTTCAGTTGTTTTTGGTTTGTTTAGCAAAAAATAAAAAACCCAGAAGTGATTAAATACCACCAAAAGAAAGCTCTGTCTCAAAAAAATGATAAAAATTTTCATATGGGTACAGTGTTGCATGACCGCGCAATTGTCATTCAAAGTGTGACAGCGCTGAAAGCTGAAAATTGGCCTGGGCAGGAAGGGGGTAGAAGTGCCCTGTAGGCAGGAAGGGGTAGAAGTGCCCGGTAGGTGAGGGGTTAAAGTAAGTGGAAAATAATAGATCTATTGGCAGGATCAGCAGACAATAAACCTGTTGAAAAAAAAAAAAAAAAAAAAACCCAAAATTTCTGACAGAATATATACAAAAATGTATATACACAATATATAAATTAAAACAGTACATTTAATATCTGTGCAAAATATGTGTAATGAAAGAAGTCCAGAAGTGTGTTCAGGGTGATGTGCAGTGTTAGTTTTCCACCACACATAGCATTTTGCTTGTAGGCCAAAAAGTTCAATTTTGGTCTCATCTGACCAGACCCCTTCTTCCACATGTTTGCTGTGTGCCCCACATGGCTTCTCACAAACTGCAAACAGGACTTCTTATGGCTTTCTTCCAACAATGGCTTTCTTCTTGCCACTCTTCCATAAAGGCCAGATTTGTGGAGTGCACGACTAATATTTGTCCTGTGGACAGATTCTCCCACCTGAGCTGTGATCTCTGCAGCTCCTCCAGAGTTCCATGGGCCTCTTGGCTGCTTCTCTTATGAATACTCTCCTTGCCCGGCCTGTCAGTTTACGTGGATGACCATGTCTTGGTAGGTTGGCAGTTGTGCCATACTCTTTCCATTTTTGGATGATGGATTGAACAGTGCTCTGTGAGATGGTCAAAGCTTGGGAGATTTTTTTTTATAATCTAACCCTGCTTTAAACTTTACAACTTTATCCCTGACCTGTTTGGTGTGTTCCTTGGCCTTTATGATGCTGTTTGTTGATTAATGTTCTCTAACAAACCTCTGAGGGCTTCACAGAACAGCTGGATTTATACAGAGATTACATGAGACACAGGCGGACTCTGTTCACTAATTAGGTGAATTCTGAAGGCAATTGGTTCCACTAGATGTTAGTTAGGGGTATCAGAGCAAAGGGGGCTGAATATAAATGCACACCACACTTTTCACAGATTTATTTGTAAAAAAGTTGAAAACCATTTATCATTTTCCTCCCACTTCACAATTATGTGTCACTTTGTGTCGGTCTATCACATCAAATCCCAATAAAATACATTGACCACTTTGGTTGTATTATGACAAAATGTGAAAAAAATGCAAAGGGTGTGAAGACTTTCAAGGCACTGTATGTACAGTGCTACAAATAAAACAATATATCCTACTGATGTGTCCATCACTCCCCCGATGTGCTTATATATATTCTATTAAATCCTTAATCCCTTTATATAAAATAAACTTACTGGAGGAAAATGACTCTGTAATAAAGAGCAGCTTGTGTTAACCTGATAATGCCTTTCTTACATCAATCAATCCTTTAAAGGACTTATTCAGCATTCAGAGTGGGTTCAGAGAGATCACAGAATTCCCATAGGACAGACCCTCTGTACACACACATTACTATATACCCTTTTTAGCAAACTTTGTAATAAAAAAAAAATATTCAAATTTAAAAGATTTTCATAAGAACACAGGAAACGGATTGCATGAAATTAAAAACTTTTTATTAAAAATCCTTACATAAAGGAAATTAAAACTTAACCATGTGCTTGCCCGGAACCAAGGATCACCTGCCAGCAGGCCCACAGATGATCCTTGGAGTAAATTGATACTTCTTGTTCTTTTAAAAAACAACAGACTTACCGGCTGGATCACCAGATGACAATAGAAGAAAGAAAGCTAATGGATCCACCACATCTAAGAACTGGTAAGCTGCAATATAATAAATGTTTGCGTTTGGGTGTAATACAACTTTAAAGAGTATTGAAAGGGTGTGTCCAAGATGGCGACTGGAGCGGATGCCTGGGAGGAGAGCTTTGCTGCCTCGGCCTAGCATCCGATTCCATCCTCGGGGGAAGAGGGATCCCGCTGTCTTCGGGGATCCCTGCGGCCCTGCACAGCAAATTCGAGAGGGGATTGGGGTCGGATTGACCCCCCGTTCGCAGTCCAGAGGATCGTGGCCTACTGCGGCCTACGCGGCCTGTTGGGGCCTACGAGAGGCTCGGACCTGGCCTGACCTGAACTTGGGTGCAGCGGCTGGCGACTTGGATCCTGGGCAGGTGAGCTGCTGCCTGGGGGAGTGTGGTACCCTCTGTTGCCCCTACCTCCTGTGCTGGGGACCCGAAATCAGTTTTTCTATGCTTTTTGGGTGTTTTTTGTTTTCTTCACTATGTTGCAAGGTGCATTTGAATTTTTATGTGCTTCAGTCTATGCAGAGTATTCAGCTAATATAATGATCTTTATGCTGTCTGTGTCACGGTATGGGTCAGGTTCAGAGACCAGTTGCTACAGCAGTTGTAAGGCTTACCTGAAACCAGCAGGATTGGTACACCAGCGGCCCACCCTGGGAATGATGCAGGCTCACCTGAGGTGCGGGGTCTAAGCATCCACCGGTCTTCCCCAGAGCTCCTAATGGTGGAGATGGATTTGGCTGCGTGTGAATGCCAGGTCGCAGATCTCAGGATCACCCCACCAGGGAATGAGTAGGCTGGAAACCAAAAGCGGATCAAACAGTTCAGGGATCAAACAGAAGCGGAGTCAGTCACAAGCCAAGGGTTGGTCACCAATGGTAGTAGATAGGATGAGGCAGAATCGTAGTCAGTAGCAAGCCAAAGGTCGGTACCGTAGATGAAGACGGCAGCAGGAACAGTAAGCGGGATATTGGCTGGTAAGGCACAATAATCTGGCAACCAAGAAGTGCAGAGACATGGCTTTTATAGGAAGTTCATGGGAGGAGCAAGGAGTTCAAGGTTCAAGACAAAACAGGGAAAAGGCAGGATCATCCAAAGAATTGTCAATAGAGCTGTCCAGCATTCCAGGTGGCTCAGTGAGAAGAAACGCTGTCTCTCCCTGCAGAAGGCCCAGGTTCAATCCCAGGCTCCGACAGTCTGATTTGCAGTTTTCTATTTCCATCCCAGGGTTCAGCCTGAGTGGTTGCACATTGGTTTTCCAATATTTATCTTATGGGACCTCCTGATTTGAAATGTATCTTCTGGAACGTGCGGGGCCTCAACTCCCCCGTTAAGCGTTCTTTGGTCTTCCAATTTCTCAAATCCTATGCCCCACATATTTGTATTTTGCAAGAAACCCATTTGATGGGTCGTAGGATACTGGGTCTCAGGAAGGCTTGGGCTGGTCATTATTATAATGCTACATACTCTTCTTATGCTGGAGGGGTTAGTGTCTTTATATATAAATCGTTGCCGTTCACTCTCCGTCATCTCAGGCTGGATCCCGAGGGTAAATATGTTAGAATCCATGCAATGATACACTGCTTTGAAATGGTAATCGTTGGGCTCTACTTTCCGCCTCCGGCCTCCGTGCATTTGTTAGGTGCTTTGACCCCACTTCTGGCCTCCTATCCCACATCCCATTTTCTTGCTGGTGATTTTAATCTTACCCAGGACCCTAGTGTTGATAAATTATACCCGGACGCCAGTGGGGAGTCGGAGTTGGCCAGGTGGGTGGAGCTTTTCCAGTTCACGGATGTATGGAGGTGGAAAATTCCTGGGACCAGAGCATATACTTGTCACTCAGCATCGCACAGAACTTTGTCTAGAATTGACCTTTGTTATGTTACTTTTGACGAGAGTTCGGGAAATTTCCATCCTGCCACGAAGGATTTCTGATCATGCTCCACTCCTTCTTACATTACATATAGCTGATGCCCCGGGGGGTAAAAGTCTGGAGGTTTCGATATTGGATCACTGATCCTGATGTAGAACCCCCTCTAGGAAAGGCTTTTAAGCATTATTGGGACTCTAATGAGAATACTGCTGCGCCTACTATTACCTGGGAGGCTTGTAAGGCTACGCTTAGGGGGCAATACCGGACCCTGATTGGTGGGCTACAGGTTAAGTGGCAGGAGGAAATGGACATGGAGCATCAGAGGGTGCAGGAAGCTGAATCCAATTATGTGCTCAATCCAGGTCCTGTTAGTCACCATGACTTGCAGTTTGCTATTAGAGAGGCCCTGTTGCTTCGCACTACGACCTCCAAGAAGGCCATGCTACATCTAAAACAACGCATTTTTAAACAGGGAGATAAAGCGGGCTGCCTCCTGGCCTGGTTGGCTATGGAACAATCTGCCCTGGCCAATATTGCCCTTATACAGGCTGAAGACAGTTCCAGGATCCTTGATCCACTTTCCATTAACCAGCAGTTTGCTGAGTATTATATCTGTTTGTATTCCTCCAGAGCTGCCTTCATGCCACAGAATTTGTCCCAATACCTAGATCGTATTGACCTGCCGTCTCTCTCTGCGGTCCACAGGGAGTGGTTGGAGGCACCTGGCCTGCCGTCTCTCTCTGCGGTCCAGAGGGAGCGGTTGGAGGCACCTGGCCTGCCATCTCTCTCTGCGGTCCAGAGGGAGCGGTTGGAGCCACCTGGCCTGCCGTCTCTCTCTGCGGTCCAAAGGGAACAGTTGGAGGCACCTATTTCCTTGGAGGAGATCCAGCAGGTGATTGGCACTCTTCAGTCAGGGAAAACACCAGGCCCAGATGGCTTTTCAATTGAATTCTTTAAAACATACATTGAGCAACTGGCTCCCCATTTTCAAACACTTTTTAACGCACTTCTTAACACAGGAACTCTGCCCTCTGATATGCTTCAAGCGGTGATAGTGGTGATTTTGAAGCCTGGGTAGGACTCAACCCAGTGCTCCTCATACCGGCCAATCTCCCTCTTAAATACTGATGTGAAGGTACTCGCTAAGGTGCTGACTGGGAGGCTGGGTTCGGTATTTCTGCGGTGGTGCATA